AATTGGAAGTGTTACAACTGACCCGCGTTACAACTATCCCCGGTCTCCCCTACTCATTAATAATTTTTTAGTATAATCAGTTGCAACTTTACAATAAAGTTCATGAATTTGTTTGGAAACAATTGTTTATTATCTTTTATCATTAGCATGTTTCATTATAACTTCATGTTTAGTTAACAGTAAAGCACTGTTGACTAAATTGTAACTGACAGTCAGTGATTTAAGCACAGTGGTCATTTTAAAGTATGAATCTTTCTCTCGTGTAGTGTGTTTCACCCTGTTGGCACCGACACTTTGGATTACTGAGCTGGCTCTGTGACTGGCTGTGAAATTGACACATCTGAAGCTGTGGCAGAGACGAGGCCATTGAACAAACAGGTAATGGAGCACCTGCTTTTACAGGATGATGATCTTTCGTACCACATGCAGTAACGCTCAGCAGTCGAACACATCTGTCTAGGAGAGAATCATCTCTTATGTTAACAGTTTAGTTCAACTCTGCACTGTCACAGACTTTATTGCACTGCACTGCTGGTTTCACTTCCTTTAATAAATCCTGTTGTTTTCTGGAGTTTTAAATATTTTATGTTCATATTAATTATGTTTTTATTACTTAAACATTTTGTTCAAATTCATACTTTTTTAATGTATTGTATTTATTTGATTATTTTTAAAGATATGAAGATATATGCCTTTCTACTTATTTGACCTGTTTTATAAATGCTGTAATGAAGGAGTTTCTCAACTTTGGATAAATAAGTATATCTTAGCTTTTAGCTTAGCTTATATTCGGTTCTATGGTTGCTATGTTAGCAAGCCTGTTTTTTATTTTTTGTAACTTATATTGGAAGTATTGAGCCATCCATCAATGTTATCTTATTCTTTTATCCATTTTTAACCTATTGTGAATATTAGTCACCAAGTGTTTTCTAAAGATGGATGGACACAGCATCTCATTCCAAACATGAGATTAACATTTAATTCACATCGCAGTGTTAGACAGCAAGCATCACAAAGCGCTACAGCCTCTAAAATCACTAAATGCTTATTTAAATAACTAACATCCTCCATAGCTACTCACATGCCCAAAAGGGTCCAGGTGGTTGTTTGTTAGCTTCAGCTTCTGAAATGACACCAGCTGCCGCATCCAGTGAGCTCCAGTGGCAGGGGAATCAGGGTGCACATAGAGCCTGCCTGGCATCGCCGGCTCAGCCTTCCCAGCCACCATCCTAAAAACAGATTACAAATGGAACAGAGTGCATAGTTGCTTTCAAGAGCCAGGGCTGTTTTTCAGGGACTATGCCAGGTTCTTTAAGTTTAACATTGGACATACAAGGCTCTCCACCCTCACAGCATTAAGTCCTTTATACTGAAAAGCAGTGATCCCTGCTAAAACTTCATTCCTAATTATACTGCTGCAAGGTGTTACTGAGAAACACCAGAACCCACCAACTGCATGCCGTGCCACAAGATCAGAAACAAATGGCTGTAAAACAACTCTGCTTGAAGGTCTGCTTGAATTCTTTTTTTAAGCTTTTCCTGGCAAAACTATTTTGTCTGTCCTCAGTATGAAGGCAGGGCAGCTATTTTGTTGTGCTAACGCATGGAGGACTATAATGTCATCAACTCCAGATACAAAATCAGCTGGAGCAACAGTCAAACTTGGGTAGTTTTTCTCTTTCTTTTTAAATGTTTTGTAATTGCCCCGCAGTAAGGAGGTGCTGCTGGCGAGGAGCCACAGTAACAGTTACCTGCTTAGGTCACTCTAAAGGTTCTGCTCTTTTAGAATATTTGAAACAAACCAGCAGCAGTTCCTCTTTACGTTTCTTCTTTTCTGGGTTAAATAAGGAATTAGAAGAATTGTAGTGGATGCATTTTTGTGAATGGACAGACTCCTGAGGAGTGCTTCTTCTGGAGGGGTACTATTTATATACAGATTATTACTCTGGTACTCCTCTGTTTAATGAAGAAAGCCATGCTCAGATAATAGAATGTATTCCACATTATTTGTAATTTTTTAAAAGGAAATGTAGTAGTATAATGATGACAGTAACAAAGTAGGGATATTAATCCCAAACACACACACGCACACACACACACAGTGAGATGAACTGAGGCCGAATAAACACTGCTCGTGAAGCGACATGGTTGTTTGCTAAGTAACTGTAATGTCATTACTTAACACACACATGCATACACACACTCACACACACACACACACACACACCTCTTCTTGTGTCCTTTGAAACTCACCACTTGTTGTCACAGAATTTGTAGCGGTGGTCGTCAGCTGGGACAACGTCAATAAGTAGGATGTATTTGGTTTTGGGATTCATCCCAGTCATTTTGACCTTGTAGCTAGGAAACATCCTCCTGTTGAAAAACACAAAGCAAAACTGTTGGACACACACTCTATGTTTCTGCAACAACGTGAAATATTCCCAGAAAAGCTGATCTCAGCTACTGCCACACAAATTAGTTCTTAATTGGCCTCAATATGGACAGAGATGTCCACCCTCAGCTTTAAAATGAATGAGCTTAAGCCCTGTCTGCACAGTGCGGTAAACATATCACGTCAGTGATTAGGAGTTCTTTCAAAGGACACAAGTTTGGACGATTATGTTATCCGTACATGATGTCACACTCCAGAGAAGGCAACAAATTTCAATGGTAGCGCTCTGCACTGGTTTTCTTCATAAGAAAGGATCTTGTAGGCCATTAAAAAAAATTTCAGCTTGTAGGAAGAGACCAGTATTGGCGCTGGTGCAGTTGAAGATCTGATTTGCTCCATGGCAGCAGGAGCTGGCAGAGCCAGGACCCACAGAGATCACAGGATTCGAGAGACAGACAGAAAGTTTCCATCTTGGACATTTGAAATAAACCCTACCTGAATGTTACGTTAATGAAACCTTCCTGTCAGCAGAAAACTACATCAAACGCATTACAAATCCAGCATTTATTTAACAAACCTCTGCTTAAGATAGTCCTGTCTGTGAAAGAAAAAGAAAAATCTCACATTTCTTGGCCTGGTAACAATTTGTGAGATGTCACTGAAAGCATGGGAACATGCTTGATCTTTTAAATGTCTCAAATATGTTAATATAGCAGCCAAGGCTATAAAGCACATGAGGGGAGCTACCTTTTGTGACCTCTTCTGGGAAACCAAAAACTTTTTCATCCCATCTGTGCCAAAGGAAATTTTGCAAAAGCCTCTGCAGTCTCTTATAAAGCCTTAAGTGGTTTTTAATGGCACCCCGGATTGGACAGAAGATTAGACAGCTGGCTTGTCACTGGCAATGGTCAAAAAGGCCTGGAGTTTATCTGCTGGTGTTGCCCATGGTGACATAGTCAAACACTGTAATGGACAACCTCATGTGTTTTTCTGGGAGGACTGCAAGGCATCAAAACCCCTGTCTGCGTGCTGGCTGCTCCAAATGGTGCAAATGCCCATCTTCAAAAGTTCATAGTGCTGATCGTGTTACTGTAAATACTCCATCACGTAAGATGAAGGGGGCGGCGGGGGATTGAGAGCAGGTAATTTAAATCTCTTTCCCAGGCTTCAAATCCAATCAGTAGGAGGGATCAGTCCTGCTATCATCTTCACTGAAAGACGGGTTAATCTTAGAAGAACATTCAAAACAGACCTCTGCTCATCTCTGACTCCGCTCGCAACACACAGTCGGAGCAGTTGGAGGCCTGTGTCAACACATGTGGCCCTCGGATTTGTATAATATGACCATAACTATCTCACGGCTCACTCTGCTGGGGGATCTTTATCCAATCTTGAGCAAGTAAATGCAATGAATAGCTGAGTGACATCACACTCTGTGTTTACATTGGTTCCCTACAAGCATCGCTTTCACTATGCAATTGTGTCCTGTGAGCAGGTACTAAATTATCCAGGAAAATTAGGCTCAACTGAATAACCAAATAATAACCCCTCACATAAGAAGCGAGCTACCGGTAGCTTTCCCCTGGGAGCTGACATGACATCTAGTGGGAGAACCAGATTCACTGGAAGGAAAAGAGAGAACAATGAATATAAAACCATTGTTTGGCAAGGTATGTATATGTTCACCTCTTTAATGAGTTTCCTCATTGTTCAGATTGTTCAGAGTTGGGCTTTGGGGTTGTATATATACATATATATATATTATATGGGGGCACTGGGACTTGAATATTTAATAACCTACTTCACTTAAAGGACATATGGATTTGTAGTTGAGAAATTTAAAAAAATACATTTTTAATAAGAATTAAAATGTGAATAATTACAGAATAAATTAACAGCAGTATGTGGTTAAAAACATATAGCAGTAAAAAGTGGCAGACTTAAATGAACTGGGAAGTTTGTATATATGTGATATCAGCAAAATCACAATCAACGAGTGAAAGATCGCAAATTCAATTTACTAGCTAGGGTGGGAACCCAACAGCAACACTAAAGCTAATCGCACTAATATAAATATTAAATAGAAATAGGTGGTTACCCAACGGCTGTTTTCATGGAAAGGAGACACAAATGACACTGTAAATATTTTTAATTAATAAATGCCTGTTTTGGTGGAAAGAAAGTAGATAATATTTTTTTAACAAGTCACTTCAAAGTATTTTAGGGGATGTTGTAATTATTTGATATTATTAAGGGAGCAGTCTGTATTATAAAATATCTTTACCTCCTAAATAGTACAAGTTGTTTGTCCTTTCCTTTAAAATTGTTTACTCCCTTGTTCTACTGTAGCAACATCATTAAGTACCATTAGGGAACTACTTTAGATAATTAAGTCCTATTTTCATTAAAGCGTGGACAGTACATATTGTGATATAGGTTATTGACTTATTATAAAGTGCGACCAAAATATCTGTGTTTGCTGCTGGTGTACAAGTAACGTATGGCAAGATGAGGTGATTCATTATACCGTACTTACTGCAGTATCAATATTTTGTCCCGCCCCTATTTTAAGTCTAATGTATTAAAACGCTGAATTAAATCGACCCAGGATAACTGCTTTTCAAAGACAACATGAAGGGATACGTATACATTCAGCAGCGTGACTAAGTGAGTGAACTTAAGGGGGGGCATGAGAAATGGAAGTCAGTGAGTGTGTGTATGATATCAGTGTCAGGGTGTGTGTGTTTCTATGTCCAGCCAGCTGTTTCTCTTAACAATCCCACATGTTTAGGCCCTCCAATGATCCATTCCTTCTCTGGGAATCTGCAGTACTACAGCGAGATCAAAAGAAGTGTTGAGGGTAAGGGGGGGGGGGTGGGGGGGGGGGGGGGGGGGGGTGGGATGAGGATGATGAAGCGCTACAGCCTAGTAGACTAAGGCCTGTTGTGGGCGCCGGGTTCCTCTTATCAAACTGCTCCTACTCACTTGACGGGCTGTGTACAAAGAGGCAGAGTGAGGCAAGAGCTGCAGTGGGTGCTTTGAAGAAGGAGGATTACACCTGGACAATGACACTCATCATAACAAGTCTTCTAGACTCAGCTAGGACTGAGCTAGTTTCATCTCGGAGTGTTTGGGAAATATGGGTTCATCTGCATCTGTCCTGACTCCCCTCTCATCTCTGCACTGCTATATATATATATATATATATATATATGACAAAACTGGAGAAATTAAAAGTGTCCATAGTTTAAATACACATAACACTCACATTTTATTATGAATGTTTTTTTCTTCATAATTCTGCATATTTATAGAGCCATATGATCTTTATTGGTTCTATTCCCATTTTAAAGGCTTTATTTGTGATTTAGGTCAGTTTAATTAAAACCGTCAGTTGTTATTGATTCCTGATTTTCACCAGTTCTTAATAAAGTCTAAAAATGATCATAAGAAAACAAACAAATACAATAACAACAACAAAAACGTCTAATTTGAAGTCACAAGCAGACTCTCCTGGTTAGAGGGAGTACACAGGTAGAAGCTAAAAGGTTCCAAAGTCTGTCTTTTGCTCTGTTGTTCCAACTCAATCACAACTGAACCGATGATGTAATCTGAACGATGCCATAGCCTGTATAAAGTGCACCCTTAACTGTATTTACTGGCAGTTCTTTTGAAGTGACCATTCAAACATAAAAAAGGAGAAACTATTTTATTTTATGCATGACAAATGATAGCAGAATACCAGAAAACAGACCTGCCAGAATACTTGAAATCACCTCTGTGCTGGTCCAAATGTCTCTTTGACCACATTTTTAAACATGTTAAAAACAGTATGACTGTGGTCGTTAATAAAGTTTTATGCCTGAAAAACCTGTGCATATGTTTACATTCATTCAACTTGATTCACGATTGGCTTTCCTTAAACTTTACATTTAGTTGGGTTAGGATATTAGCCAACGACAACTAGAAGTTGAGTAACGCCAATTTTTACTGAGGAATGCCAACATTATGTTATTTGGTGACTACAACACCTCCAACAGACATATGGATATTACTTTTATTTTTATTCTACAAAAGAACAAGAGTTCAAACTGCATCCAGGGCAAAAATCACATTATGCTGCTAACAGAAGTTCTGCTCTTTGCTAGCACCTGCACAGATAGCACAGGTAGCATGCTAACACTAAGCTAGCTGAGAACCCAGAGCTGAGTGTATGCAGACCCCGGCTCAGCAGCCAGAGCCTGAACTTCAACCAGTAACAAAAGTGGTAATGAGTAGTTCAGCTTAAAGCCTCCCTTTGTACTGGTTCATGTGTCTGAAGTAATAACAGTGGTGATCACTTTGAATTCTCTGTGGGCTGCTTTTCATTTTAGCTGTGTGTCGTCTCTTCATACGGATCAACTACAAGAAAGATTGGACGTTGCCTTCATTAGGACAGGGACTTGTGTTGGTGTGTGCAACTGTCAGAGGTGGGTAGTAACTAATTAGCAGAGTTGGGCAAGTTTCATTTTGAAAAGTAATTAATTATAGTTACTAATTACTTCTTCAGAAAAGTAACTGAGTTAGTAACTGAGTTACAAGATACTAAAAGTAATTAATTACTTGAAAAGTAACTATTGCGTTACTTAATAAAAAAAAGTGTTTAACCCTCTGGGGTCCAGGTCATAATTGGCCATTTTTAACTACTTCTGATGTTTCCTCTACATTTCACCTTTACAAACTATTTACTTTGTCTTGTTTGGTATCATTGTTTTCAGCACAACCTCACGTGTCTGAATTTACAGTTATGTTTTCATTTTGACAGACTGTATTAACACAACTGATCTAAAATCAGACAAAAAACATAAAATCCAAGTAGAAAAAGTTATATTTTTACTGTAACAACCACAGACATGTTTATTGAATCATATTTCATAACTTTAGATGCAAATATAAATTGTCAATTTGAAAATCATATGGACAAGTTTTGCAAACAAAGTTATTTGCAGCCATTTACCTTTGACCGTTTTTTTTTTTTAAATAACCATTTCAAACTGTTTGCGGAACAATCAGCTGTTCTTCAATAAGATGCCACAAATTATTTGTGCCACTCCAAAAAATAATTTGTGTCCACTATAAAGGAAACATCACAGCCTGATACCTGCAGGTCTGACAGCAGCAGGTGTATCACTCCTGTTTCTACCTGGAGATAGCAGTCGCCTCATTGTTCTGACACACAACACAAAACTATCCACAACACTACACACTAACTACACAAGACAACACATTAACTACACCAAACACGCTAAACGTCACAACTCTCACATCTCAAAACTCTCTCTTTTTCTGCTCTCTCTCTTTTGCCGTCACCCCTAAAACTTCCCCCTCTTCCTAAACAACCAAATGTCATGTTGTCATATCATTTTTTGATTGGTCGACATGGTGCATTTTTCCACCAACACGAAAGGGCTGTTTTTTGTTTGTTTTGGGGGTTATAAGCAGTAGCGGTTTTTGACACGGGCGGTTGCCCGGGGCGGCATCGTGGTGGGGGGCGGATTCACGGGCATCGGCAAAAATAAATAAATAAATAAATTGCTCGTACTCATGCTGCCAGCCAGCGCATATTGGGAGCGCATAGGCACCGATCGGTTTTCTATCGCCCATTTGCTGGTAGCAGCAGGCGCCCTCCGTTTGCGAGGTGCGCCTGCTGCTTGCGGCACAGGGAGGAGAGGGCGGGGCGGCGGGGGATTCTCTGGCTGGCTGGAGCAGCGTCTAATAACCAACTTGCAAAATAAAACAATTTAAAAAAAAACCAAAAACACGAAAACACCAGACATCATGATACAGACTTATAATTTGCACCGATGTTTTTTCGAAATTCTGTACGTGAAAAGTGAGCGCGAGAGCCCTCGGTGCGCCTGCTCACTGCTGAAGTCAAAGTAAACTTTATTGTCATCTCCGCTACTTACAGCCCAGCATATAGAGAGACGAGACGACGAGGCTCCAGCTACAGCAGTGCAAGTAAACAAAAAACAAATATAAGAAGAGTAAGAAAATAAATATACTCTTTAGGACTCGGGGTAAAGGATCAATAACAATTGAAAATTTATAATTTGATGATTTAAAGTCTCACACACAACCCGTCGAAAGGGGAGGGGCCAGCTGCTTCCAGATAGAGCACATTTCATTCATAATGTTGTAAATCCAAGCCCATTATGGATTCATGATTTGAATCATGGGTTGTGTGAAATCCCAGAAATACACCTTAGACAAAGTGAATCTTGAACTAAGGTGTAGGTGTGTTAGATCATGGCGATCCTCGGGTTGGGGGATGATTGTTCATACTGGAGTGCAAAATTCAAACCAATAGAAGATGGACAAGAAAAATTCAAAGCCATCAGGTGCTCAGTTTAGAAAAAAAGAGAAAAAACAAGCAGAAACGAGCAAAAGATGCATGTAAGCAGACGTGTGATTGGATAATGGCAGCTCATCCTGAACCAATTAGTCAGAATACTTTATTAATCCCTAAGGAAATTATGTGCGTTACAGTTCCTCCAAGAAGAAATGGTAAAAATAGCAACAGTAACAGACTAAACTCCAAACAATACATCATGTTACAGATTTTAATATTAATTAGTCATTGTCAGTTGTTGATTCGTCCTGTTCTCATTGTATGATGAATTATGATGGCTATTTGGTAGCTGTTTGCATACAATGCACACTCTCTCTCTCTCTTCATATGTGTGTGTGTGTGTTTCTCTGGTGAAATTCAGTATGGTTCCGACAACAGTTTTATGTTAATGTACAATCCTTAATATGTGTGTGTGTGTGTGTGTGTGTGTGGGGGGGGAGTGTTCGCCCGGGGCGCCAAACAGGCTAGGACCGCCACTGGTCATAAGCAGAGAGTGCTTGCTAGCGCTGTCCTTAGACAGTAAAAACGCCGAGTATATATTGTTTATCATGACTCTGGTTTTACGTGGCCTATCAACACAATATAAAAACTGGCACCTTGTTGCTTTGTCTTTAAGTGGTCATGTGATTGGCTTACCACGTCTACTTTACTCTTCCTCAGCCAAACAGCAGCACTCATGCCATTGTTTTGCCCCTGAGCTCCAGGTGTTGTGCTAGAAAGTGATTACCATCCGCGGGAGCGCGCAGCTGCTTAAAGCTGTAGCGTCCAGATTACTTACAGCTACTTCCTGCAACTGATATAAGATGCGTTAAGCTGACCACGGCTTCAACCGTCTGTTTGTTGAAAAATAGTAACGCGACCACATCGTATTTTCTTGTTAGTAACTGTAACGGCATTGTAACGATAGAAATAGTAATTAGTTAGATTACTCGTTACTGAAAAAAGTAATGCTGTTAGTAACGCCGTTACTTGTAGCGCCGTTATTCCCATCACTGCTAATTACATTTACTCAGTTACATTTACTTGAATAATATTATGTATGTATGTATGTATGTATGTATGTAAGTATCTCTACTCAAGAAAAAATTCTGGCTACAGTACTCAGTGTGAGTAACTTCAGTGAATGAGTAATAAACACGTTTCATTCAAAAATCCATGAGACAGACACTGCAAGTACTTTGCCCTATTCTGACATATATTTATATTACCTTCTCTAAATATTAGTTTAATAATGATTTGGAAAAATTTTTCTTCTGCTTAGATTCATTATTTTGTAATCATGTTTTTTTATATGTCGTTTATTTTCAAATACCAAAATTTGCGACTGCAGTCTAAGAGTCATGTGATTAACCAGTAATTATGAGACAGTATTTCAGGTCATTTTTTGTGCAGTGCACTAAATATGAACAAAATACACAAGAACAAACCTGCAGTTGGTATATAACTGCTGTCCAACCAATCAATCTGCACAGCTTTTGGATGGATTTCCGTTCAGTTTAGCTCTACAGAAATGCACGTCCCCATGTGGCAGCCATCACATCACCCAGACTTTAATGACCTTAGTTTATCCAGTAGTTTGGTTTACGACTAATTGCCTCCATAGCTCTTTCAGACTTGGGTGAACTATTTATTTAGTGCAAATGAATATTAGAATTGTAACATTGCTTTCTAAGATGGTTGACTTTACTTGCTATGAATCATTTTTTTAGCGTCATCATTAGGAGCTTACAGCCATGCTAGCTGCTTTTTGAAGCTGCACTCATCCTGAAGAATAAGACAGACTAGTGTGTGAACCTCAGACGCATTCACGATGATGCATTCTTTCCTTACAACATAATTCCAAGAATTAATCTCTGTATATTTGTTGTGTGTTGTGTTGGGGACAATAAAGTTACCATTGACCTGTAACCTGCCTCTTTTCGTCTTTCATTTCTTTTCTTTTTATTTATCTACATGTATTTATGACCTCAATGAATGTAATAATACGTCTGTTGAGAAATTTCTCCAAATTAGTGGGCAAATGCTCACTGCTGTGACTCTCTGTGATACACTTTGAGATAATAAAAAATTAGAAAGATAAAGCAGGGATTGTGTCTGCAGTAATGCCTGGTTCCCACTCTTGGGTGCTTTTTATTGTCTGTTCAAACGACACATTAAATACAATGTTCTACTGCCAAATGCTTTTTGCTGCAGCATGATTAAAATACCTTCTACCGTGATGAGACAGTGAGCACTACATGCACTGCTCATGACGTGCTTAAATAATTCAGTCTGGTGTCGATATCATTTTCATTTTCAGATCTGTTGCTTGTCAGCGATGAAGCCAATTTTCAGCGCGCCCGCTGCAGACTGACTGCAGGTAAACTCCGATAGGTCTTCCAGCACAGCTGCACAGCTACACGACTATACAACTCTTCAAAGGGCTTTAAGGATTCAGAGCCTACTTTATCAGCTGGACAAGGAAAAGCCCATCTCCTACGGTTATACAGCATTAAGGAAAAAATGTGGTGACCTTTTACATTTTTCGCTGAGGAAAAAAACATCCCGTGAGGAATGAGAGGCGGAGGTCAGTTTGAGAGTGTATTCATTCTCTGGTTAATGTCCAACAGCCTCACTATCTAATCCTCAGGTCGCATTAAATCCAACCAGCCGAGCAGTCATTTGTGTTTTCAATTATGCAGTCGCCGCGGCAGGAACTTTCTGTCTCTTCCTGAAAGACAAAATCATAACTGTTGTACGTTACTACGAGCTGTCTAAACAGATGATCCTAGAAAGATATGATACTCATCTTGCATAATGAATCCATCACTAGAAAATCACTTTGCCTGCAATTTTCCAGAAAGCTATGCATGTTTTCACTCTGAAGACTATCGCTACGTTTCAATATGTTCTATGAATAACAAGGAGCTCGACCGTTTCCAGGTTACTGTTGACGGGGAGATTCAAATCAGGTGAAAAAACTTTTTCAGGTAATCTTTGTGTTTCATAAACTCCACCACAAATCCTGCAATGCAGTAATGCAGTACGTTAATGTAACAACAGCAGAAAATACATTTACTGTAGAGATTTAGGCAGATGTTTAATATTTCTTCTTTGACTCCACGTCTGAACAAACTGTTTATTCCAGTGCTTATACCTGACAGCAGACACTGGCTGGTTCACGTGTTCCAATATCCAAACAAAAATGCAGTAATACAATGGACTGAAAAAACCATGAGAAATTGTACATTTTCTTAGATTACATTTTGAATGTAGCTCTTTTGAAGTATTTTTACACTAGAGTATTTACTCTTCTGTAAAATGGAAAAAATACTGCAAACATGAACTCAAACATTTCTTTTAATTTTTTTATGGTTCATCAGAAACATGCCTCACTCACCTCCCCGCTTTAGTAATGATCATCTCTGTACCGGCCTCGTGGAACTTCTTCCACAGCTCCCTCTCGTGAAGGACGACCTTAATGTTCTCAATGTTCTGAAGGAAGAGTCACAGTTACAATCAAAACTACTCAGACCATCCAAGAAAATGCAAAATAGTTGCATATAAACACCAAAGGGAGCAATTTATAAATCAGCCTAAAGCGTACTATTTCACAGTCCATCCAGAAGATGCAAGATTGCCCTCCGTGCGTACCTGGTCGGGCTCGGTGGAGCTGGGAACGGTGGGAGCTGTGGACAGGCCCAGTCGCGACTGGTCTGGAAGCAGATCCGTCTCCCCGCCGGTCTGGAGCCGGCTCACATGTTCGTCCGTCACAGTTGAAGCTTTCTCCTGAAGCATCGCTGCAGGATTAGAAGAATACCCAGCTGTCAGATTTATCAGTGAGCAGCAGTGAAAGCAGAGGGGAACTGCCACTGTGGGTCAGACCTGGCACAGGACATTTTCCAGATGTAATGTAGCCTCATGTCATATACAGTTATAAAGTATACTCCTATATATATTCTATTACTGTGAGACAGCATTGGCCTTAAATCAGTGGTGCCAAGAACTTTATTAAGCTATGGTCATTTTATGCTATGTAATGATTAATGTGGAAGCAAAACTTTATTTCAAAGTTTTTGTTTTTCATTAAATGTTTTAAACACTAGTTTTTATTAACTTAAAAAATGATCTGAAATAAAACAACTCTACCTTTTATTCAACAACAATTCTATCTTTTTGCCACACCTTTGTGTGTTTTTTACACAAATGTAACAGACTGCACGTCAGTGTGAGTGCAGATCACATGTTGTGCGACTGTGAGCCTGCACAGCTGCGGGCCATCATCTTACATATTTAGGTTTTTGAATTTAAATATGAATTTCTAAGATTTAATTGGAGTGTGTAAAACTTCCCCCTTCTCCAAAATAAAAACGTCCAGCTAAGCTTTTGTAGTATGAAGTCAGGTTTCCATTACAGACCGCACACTTTTTGCCAATGAAAGATTTTCTATTTGAATGACATTTTTAGACCCAAAAGCATTTTTGAAAAAGTGAATGCTATATATATGCAGCCTTTATTTTTGTAGTTGAGATCTTTGGTTTGGGCTGGGTGTGCAGGTACCACTGGCTGCTGTTGTTGATAAATTCTATGGAGGAAACCTGAGCCAAGTAGTGGTTTAATACTGGGCATACAAACAGAGAGACAAAAATGTTGAAAATACAGTGATAATATTCAAGTGGCACAACAGAGGAATGAGGTTTCAATATTTCTCTTCTCTCCTCACACGCTGTTTGCTTTTAAGTCGATATCAACAATGCATCAGCACAATTTTCCGTTTGAAGTTCACGCCAGTAATGAGGCAAACATTTTTCTGTTAACTGAGGGTCACAAAACTCTCTGTGCTACTGAGCTACTCTGTACTGCTCCATTTCATCCATTAATCTAGAGAATGCCAGCACCTGAGGACCATCTCATGTGAACCTCGGCCCGTAGAGACTTAAACATGTTTAGCTCCGTGACAGCCAAGCTCAGACTTTATTAAAGATTTGTGCATGAGACTCCACAAAAGGGTCAAAGTCTCAGCAGTAAATTAGGCTGACACACTGTACAGTGAACATCGCTGCAGCTGAGAGTGCAGCTCTGAAAGGCTGAAATCTTCATTTCGATTTGAAACACAGAACTGTTAACAGAAAAAAAAATCAAGTCAAAGTAATACATCGTTAAAATGGGAGACTCATCCTTGTCATTATTATTTTGTCCTCACACGTACAGAGTCACTGCAGCTGTTTCTGCTTCTGTTCCTGCCTCAAACCTCGATGCAGCTCTCTGTGTGCTTCGTACTGCAAGTTTACAACTATTACTTCTGCTCCAAATGCTTTTGTTTAACTCCACAAAGTTAGACAAAGTCTAACTACAGTTTAGTTTTCAGGTCATTTCTAATGGTTGGAAATGCTTCTGTACTTCTGTAAGGCAAAAGCTGCTCAGAGTATGCTAGTGTGAAACCTGTTGCTGCGGTCTCCTAGCCTCAGGGCTGCACGCTGTGGACGTGAGCCTGTAAACATAGAGAAACCACTCTCTTAGCCATGAAACTGGAGAGGTGGCATCCAGTGTAAACGGACGGAGACCTTTGTGAAAGTTAATAAAGATAAGATCTGACGAAGAAACAGCTACAAGCTTTTTTTCTTTTCTCTTTTTTGTACAGTGTGAATCTAGGCCTTTCACTAGTTCTGTTTAACTGATAAGCACAAGCCAACAGCGCATGCATGAGCCTGTTTCTGCCTCACACACGACATCCAATCTGAGGACTATTCCGGACATATTTCTGTCCGTTATAACATTTCGATAGACTGTAAATAAATACATGAAAACAAATCCATGGCACCAAATATGTTTTCAGCATCTAAAGGTTTTATTTAAACATGTAAATCCTGAAGGGAGTCTGGTTTGTTCCTGCTGCTTACAGGGAGAAATGATCATCTAAATGAATCTGCTTGGAAAATATTATAGTGCACTGAAAGACAAAGAAGTAATGGCTGTGCAGCAAAGCAAGCAAGAAACAGGGGAAACAAACTGCACACGAATACAGATGAGCTGCTCATTTAACTGCAAAGCTTCACTTTTACTTGTCTTGCAAGCAGGAAAACTGTTCGGCCGAAGGCCTCACAGAAGAAAGTCGTGAAACTTGGCAGCCATCTTAAAGCACCAATCATTTTGAACCTTTGCATTTTGAAATGAAAATATCATGCAGAAAATCACAGGTCAAATCTCATTTTTAATAAAACAATTAAAGGTTCTGCCACAAAATAAGGTTTTCAATGTTCCCCTGTGGGAAACACTGCAACAACCGTCTATGCTGGTGTGGCGTTCTCTGACACATTTAACTTAGATGTCTCCTGTTTATGATGCCACGCTACAGCCAGCATCAGTGGGCCTGTTGTTCACATATTTTCCAGAGGTCTGCAGAAAGACTGCAGAGTTTGAAGTAGCAAATACCAAAAGCCTAAGACGCTAAAAACAGTGCGTGTGTGTGGAGATGTGCTAACTGTGTGAGGCAGATGTAACACATTTCAATCTGCCGCCATTTTGTGTCAACAGCTCTGAACCATGAAGGCCCGGCATCAGTGCTCAACACGTCCTTCTCAACAACAAACAACGTTAGCTGATGAGGACATAAAGAAAACACCTTCCACTGCTTCTAATCAGCTGACAGCATTTAAACCTCAATGCAAACAAACAAAAACTCCTCAAAATAAAATGAGCAAATACTGATGCATGGAAACAATAAAGCAATTGTCTGGCTTTTAATCTACGTCATTTTTTAGTGTAAAATGCAATGATCACAGCAGCTTGCATATTTACATACATACATAAAGCTGGGCTTCCAGCCCTGTTCCCAATAATATTTTAAAACAATCAAAAAACTGAACACGAAAAGCTTTCAAACCATCCTCCATTCAACATAAATATTATAAAATATATGAAGTGAACCATGCATTTTGAAATATTTTAAATAGCAGTACCATTAACTAATTACTTTTAAGCTGGTGTGTGAAAACTTCCAAGCACAGGCCAGTGTTTGTAAAGAAAATGTGAAAGTCAGCTTTCTTAATAATGTTAAAGTAATAATAATAA